TATTATGAAAAATTGTATTATAATAAAAGTACGATTGTAGTCAAAAAAGAGTATAAAAAGTGGATAGAACAAGATGGACCTAATAGTATAATTTTGTATACGGATGGGTCGAGAAATAATGTTTCACGCAGAGTTGGATGTGCAATATGGATTGAAAAGGAAAAAATACCCATATGTTATAAACTCCCGGAGTTTATTTCTATTTATTCGGCAGAATTAATAGCTATTCGTGAAGCTGTTAGAATAGCTAAAATGAATAAGTATAAAAAAACTATGATTTTAACAGATAGTTTAAGTAGTGTAAATAAATTAGAGAAGTTCATGAATACAATAGAATTTGAAGAAAAAATATATTTTGAAATATTGAATGATATAGAGATAATTACAGGGATTGGAAATAACATAAATATTGGATGGGTACAAGGTCATATAGGTGTGGAAGGAAACGAAAAGGCCGATGAACTGGCAAAAGCAGCGAGTGTAAGCGGAGAAGAATATAATAAATGTTTATATGGTGACATAATTAAGAAAATTAAAATTAAAGCAGAGGAGAGATGGAAACAAGTATGGAGAGAAACATCGCAAAGAAAAGGAAGGCATTACAAATTATATAATGACTGTATATCGTTCAAACCATGGTTTGAAGAGTTTAAAAACGAAGAAAGAAGTTTTATTGTCACCATCAGTAGGATAAGAACCAAACACGGAAGCTATGCGAAACACTTGCATAGAATAAAAGTGATAAATTCAGATAAATGTGAATGTGGAGAGGAAGAAGGTACTCTGGAGCATATAATTCTGGAATGTAAAAAATATGAGGAAAACAGAAAAAGAATGTTAAATTATATATATAGAAATTTAGATATTATCAAACCGTTTAACTTAGATCTATTAATTTGTAATAAGAATAGCTATAGAGTAATATATGAATTTTTAGTTAGATCAAAAATTAAAATATAAATATGTATATTTAAAATTATATAGAAAATATTTAAGTTAAAATGTATGTTATATGGCTAATTGTATAATAAGAGGAAGCCAATAAAAATTAAAAAAAAAAATAAAAAAAAAAAAAAAAACCTTTGTGATTTTGTCAGGTATTGCTATTTTCTGGAGAACTTGAAACAGGTATTCATGTGACATCATATCAAATGCTTTCTTAAAATCAATATTTAATAGACCTGCTTGTTTATATTTTTCTGTATTATAAAAAGATACTAAATTTCTAACTGTTGTTAAGTTATTGATAATATTTCTGTCATCTATACAACAGGATTGACCGTCATTTATTACATTTTGTATGCTGTTTTTAATTCTATTCGCTAAAATTTTTGAAAACAATTTTAGATCACAATTTAGGAGCGTTATTGGCCTGTAATCATCTGTATAATTTGGATTTTTTACTTTAGGTATAAGGATGATTATTCCCTCTGTAAACTCTTTATTTATGTATTCTGGATTACTTAAAAATTCATTAAACATTCTTGCAAGAAGAGGTGTAAAACTTTGTTCATATTTTTTATAAAATTCATATGGAATTCCATCTATACCGGGGGTCCTATTATCATTTGCAGATTTTATTGCTTCTTTTACTTCTTCTTCTGTAATCTTATTTCTTAAATTCTCATTGAAAATAATGTTAATATTTTTATTGTAGTTTTCCAAAATAGCAAGGTTTTCTATGTTTGGTATTGATTCTTTTTTATAGAAATATTGATATGATTTTTCCATTTCTTTCATTATATCTATATTGTTTTGTAATAAAGTGTTTTCCGAGTTATACATCGATTTAATATATTTATTTTCTCCATTTTTCTTTTCTTTCGCTATTTGGTATATTGTTAAACGTTCCTCTTCTGCTATTGTTTGTGTTCTTGATCTTATTTTGATACCTTCATTTTTTAAATCATATAATTTTCTAATCGTTGCTTTTATTTCTTTAATTATTTCCCACATACCTCCGGTTTCTTTATGAATTGAGACAGCCTCGTTTAATACTTGCTCAAAATAACTGATTGTGTTATTAAAATCTATGGCATTCTGTATCGAAATACTTTTTGCTATATATTTAATTTTGGGTTTTGCTTTTTTTTGCCACCATTCTATTATTTTATTAGGCGGATATTTTTTTTCAATTAATTTCCATTCTTCTATAAATTTATTATCAAATTCCTCTGATTTTAATATTTTGCAGTTCATTTTCCAATAGCTTTTTCCTAATAAGGGTATTGATGAAGATGCTTTTATTTTCAGAATTACAGCATTATGGTCGGAAAAAGCTATCGGTACCGTTTTGCAGTCTATAATTTTGTTACTTATATTTGAATCTACATAGAACCGGTCCAATCTAGATGCAGAATCGCCTCTGAGAAATGTGTATCCTGATTCATTCTTATGTTTTTCTTCCCATGCATCTTTTAGTTTAAGCTGATTCACTAATCTTTTTAAGGCCGCACTATTATTTGTTCGGCCTTTTTGGTCTTTTGCGTTAATAACACAGTTAAAATCTTCTGCTATAATTACATTTGATGTATTATTTCTAAATATACTGCCTATTTCTTCTTCAAATAATTTTTCTCTTTCGGCTTTAAAACCATTCCCAGCATGTGCATATACATTGATGAAATTTATTTCATCTATTTTTGCTCCTATTATTCTAGAATTTTCATGCAATAGTATATTTTTAAATTTTATACCAGGTCTTATCAAGATTGCTGTTCCTCTTTGATTCTCATTTAAATTTATGATGCTTTCATATGGCTTAAAAAAATTAAAATCGTCTTCATTTATTTCTTGTAACATAATAACGTCTAAATCATATTCTCTTATGAATTTTTTTAATAAGATTTTTGTTGTTAAACTCCTTATACCATTTATATTTATTGTTGCTAAGTTTCTTATTTTGTAATTATCCATGTTTATTAAATAGTATATTTGTTTTATTTTTATTTATATTGTTTATAATTTTGTTATTTGTTTGTTTAAATCCTCTTCGGGTTTTTCACCATATTCTTTATTTGACTTTAAAGATTCGTCTTGTTCAATTATCATTTTTTCATTGGGATTATTTGACAATACATCAGATGACAAACTTGGTGCTTTTATATCAAATCTTCTAATGATTTGATTTATTACTTCATCTGTATTTGGAGTAGAAGTTGTTATTATTTTATTTCTCTTTGGTGTTATTTCAATTTCATTGTTATGATTTTTCTTCTTATCTATTTTTATCGATTTTTTTATTTTATTTGCCGTTGTAACAATACTTCTTTTATTAATAATTATTCTATTTTCTTCTTTTTTATAACTATTGTATTCTTCATTTTTCTCATGATCTTTTTGTTTGATTTTATTTTCGTCTTTTTGGTATACAGTTTCCTCAATTATATTATCTTCTTTATTATATATTGCAGGATTAATTTTTTCAACATATTTTAGTCTTTCATTTATTCTCGTATTTACTGTGCAATCTTTTTTCATATGATTTATTTCTCCGCATTTAAAACATTTCCTTGGCTGTCCTTTTATAATTATTGTTGTATTTTTTCCATTAATTTTAATGCTATCAGGTATTTCTTTTGTGAGTTCCATAAGGAATGTTCTGTTTCCCGTGTAACAGTTAATTATGTTTTCTCCAGACCACATATCTTCCTGATATTTTAAAACTCTCCCATATTCTGACATAATTTTTGTAATATAATCTTCTGAAATCTCCCACTGAACGTTTAGAAGTTTAATCCATTTCGGAGGTTTTTTCGGTTCACTAAATTCTATTTCGTAACTTTGATTGTTTTCATCTTTGTACTTAATATTTGCTTCGTATTTATTTTTAATTTTACTTATGATTTCCGCATTATTAAATTTGACATTTAATATTTTACTTTCCATGGCGATTCCATGAATGCAACTTATGTCTTCGAATATACTTTCAAGGATTTTTCTTAACCACATATGTACTTTTAATGGAGCAATTGCTCCTTCTATTACTTTAAAATTAAAAAGGAGTGTATTAACTTGCTTAATACTCTCCATTTTGTATTATATATTGCACTTTAAACACAAAACACACGCACAGCCAGGCAGGCAAGCCTGGTATTTATTAAATGTTTTTATTATTGCTCTTATATAATCCGATGTGTTCACAACGAAGGTCTATTTTGAACTGAATCGGAATGGTCATAAACTAAATCTTCCAACAGCGTTACAAAATACTCGTTAGTTTTCAGAGTAAATAAATAATACAAAATTCTTACATTCTGAAAAACAACTTGAGGTCCCATGATGTACTATAATTACCGGTTCCAGTAGAGCATTTTTTTCCATGCAGACGACGTTCATTAGGAATATTAATGACGCTAATGGGAATATTTGGAAGTTGACAATAATTGTATAATATCTATTCATAGAAACATTGACTAATTCTTCACCCGTCATTTGTAATTATTTTCAATAATTGTAACTCTCAAAGTGAGCTTGGTGACTCTTTGAGATGCAGTGTATTGTATTGTTAACATTTAGCATATTCGGCATTTATCTTGTAAATAAAACTAAGAATTTAGCAACTTCGAATTTGTAATTTGTTTTTTTTTTTAAAGAAAAATGACGAGACTAACCTTAATTTTTCTATTTTATAAGAGAATCAAATATTGGAGAATAATTTCATAGGTAGACATAGCAGGAAAAAAATTGACTATGTAGAGAGGCGGGTATCTACATTAAACTAGAACTTTTGAAAATGTATTGTATTAATTTAGTTTACATAGCTAAATTTAATTGTAGTGATTTAACCATAGGCCGTTCATATATAATATTCATAGCTTTTTGGTTTGCTAATTGCAACGGTATACTATTAAAACAAATTTAGCAGTCTGACCTGAAATGAAAATGCTTAGTTTTAAGTATTATTTTATATAACGTTTTTAATAACACATCGTAATTAACGCTATTTTATTACATATTATTACATTCATGGAACTTATAGTATTCTTCTTGTTTTTTAGGACCATCTACCTGGCCACATTTCTTTCCTGAAGCCGCTGGATCGAGGCAAAGTCCTATTGATATTCAAACATCAGAAACTAAATCAGAGAAGTCATGGGACTTACTGACTTACAAATATGTACCAGAAAATACCAGGTCTCTGGTTAACCCAGGATATTGCTGGAGAGTGGATGTCAACGGTAAAGGATCCGGTGAGTAATCAAAGAAAATTTGAAGTTTTAATCGTAATTTTATAACAATAACGTACGTTCCTTATTTCAACCAATTAGTATATTATTAGGTTGTTTATAGTTTTGTGTTATTCATCCAAGATTATTGCATATAATATAATAACAATGTCTATTATTTTAGTATTCACTATTTGTATTAAAATTTATAATATAGTTTAATAACTTATCTGATATAATTAATCGACTCTTTTATTTTAATCAAATTTTTATTATTAAGAACAATACAAACTTTAATGTTTCATAATATAATATGATCTCGAATATATAAGATGAAACGTACAAAGCGTCCTATTTGTATAAAAAAATGATGTATAGAAATATTATTGGAACATCAATTAATTAAAATTTAATTAACAGGGACGTCTATTACTGGTAAATTGATTAACTACTTATTATCAATTGATGGATAGAGAGCGTGTGATACTATAGCTCTGATGAGATGAAAATTATCTTGTTCATTTAATTATCATATAATAGATCGTTACATTAAATCCAGAGGTGACATTTTAAATTTATATTTGCTTATTAATCTTTACTAGAACCTGTTAATCAAAGGTTCAAGTAATCGTAAGCAACGATAAATTTACGCCAATTTATGACTTTGTCGGCTTTGGCGCTTTTGTTGTGTCAAAACATCTTTTTCAGATGCTAGCATTATTAAACCTCTCTACTAAAATAGACAAATGTAAAGAAAATATTGTTTACTCCTTCCCGTGAAGTATTCCATCTTTCCATCTTCAATAAAATGGTAATTTCAAATCCTGTTACCTTGGCCAAGTGGCGGGAATAGCTCAGTCAGTAGCATACCCGACTCACATGCCAGGGATACTCGGTTCTAGTCCTTGTGCTGACATAGATTATTTAATTTGAATTAGAATAGAATTAACAGGTAGAAGTTGAAGCAAGATTTGTTATGCTTAAGTTAAGATTTAGAAGTATGTATAACTTAAAAAATAAAGAATATAAAAAAATGATATGTTGTAGGTGACGAATTGCTCTAAGTTAGCGAGATGCATAAAAACTCTGGCTAACGTTTACTTCAATATATCTGCCATATCAGTGAATTACTCGTTAAGTCGAATTTTAGCAAAAATGTTTTAAATCGCGGTGTTAACTATTTCTCTGATAATAGTTATTAAATTGAAAAAACTATGGATTAGGAACAAACGTTAATGAAGCACTTTATATAAAATTTGAACCATTAGTTTCAAACATGTATTATTGAAGAAAGATATTACACGAGTAATAGAACTTTAAAATCAAGTTTTGCAAAATGGTGAGAATTGACTTAACCACTTATTTACTGGGATGACAGATATAATATCAAAAATATGTTTTAATTCAAAAATGATCCCCTTTTGGCACAGCTGTTAAACCGTATATTGATTATTACTCATCATGTGTAAAATTTGGTTCAGAAGTCCTAACAAATTTTTTGTTGTTGTAACTTACAATCCATGCTATTTTTTGAAAGCGATGTAGCTTTCATTGCAGAGTATAGGTAACTTGAAATAATACAGTATTTTTTTATAATTTACTAAACATATTACAAAAATAACTGGTTTCTATTATCAGGAAATTATTCAAGTGTTAAAAAATTTCAACCGGCGTATACAAGCGATAGGTGCGAGTTAGTAACAATCTTAATAACATAAATTTTCCAATGAAATAATAACAATGATTGTTCATATTGTTGACCCGTAGAATTTCGGTGAGTCAACCAATAATAAAGGTGATAGTCTGAGAGGCAAGGACACTCGTATCAATTGCTGATACAAGTTTTTTAGTTGTGTATAGCAAATTAAATTCGCATTTTTTGCTTATTATCATTTTTCTTGAAATGATAATAAAATACATTATGTTTCAAAAAAAAATGTTTTGCAAATATCAATAAGACGACAATTTAAAGCACTTGTAAAGAAAAAGATCAGTTGAACGGTTCTGGATGATTTAGATGAAAAGAACGGTGGAGAAAATTATCAAAACATTATTTTGCGACCAGAAATCAATATTAGAAATGCCTATCATCTCATTTTATTTATATGAATTTTTCCGCTATACAAACATTTTATTGTGCATTGTGCGAACACTGAATGATATATTTGAAATATATATGTAAAAGTTCAAATTTAGGTGGGGGGGGGGGGTTCTAATGTACTTGTAATTTTACACTAATATTTAATGAATAAAAATCTACTTTAAATTTCAGATTACGCCTTTTGATGTACATATTTGTTTACAAAAAGTCAGTGTTTCCCAAACTTTTACGTCAAGCTCCACTAATATTTAAATTTTTATATCATATAAAACTCATTTTATTACAAGCTTCCAATTGTTCCTCATAACTATCAAATTTTTGAAGAAACTGATCTATACACTCAAATATTTGTAGTCGAAAAAAACTAATTCAAACAACATACTTCAAAATCTTAACATTTATTTAATATAATACAATTATAAGATCGAAAAGTTCCTTCAATTTAGTTACATTTTCCATACACCACTAGTCTCTTTTGTAAACCTAATGTAAATTTTTTTAGTGAAACGCGACAGTATTTTCCGTCATGTGCAATTTTCGTCGATAATGGTCTCTGCCTCTATGACTAAATGAGCGTCACAATTTTGTATCTGTTCATCAAACACTGTCAAAGAATTATTAACACGTGACTAGCACATGGCGAGTTGGAATGCGGTTTGCTGGCTGTTTGTGAAATAGATTACTGCAATTTTAATGATATATATGTTTAGTTACACTTTTTGTCCTGACTATATAAATGTTTGCCTTACCTAAGAGTTGTTAATTTGAACTTTTTTTAAATTAAAAAATCTATATCTTCACTCCATTTCTATCTACTATTGTAACTATTTATTTGTCGAGTCTAGCTCCTGTACTTTTGTATAAAGTCAAATACTCTAATTATATTTTATCATTTACCCGTAGGTATAGTATCCATCGTATCTGTTTTTGAAAACAATAAGTATTTAGAATATAAAAGCTATGGTATCATTGTGATAAAAAAGGAAGAAGAGAAGATTTTCCAAAAAAATCACACAACAATATTTATAATAATAAATAATTACACAAAACACAAAAAGTATACGAGGGATTTATTGGCTCTGGAGTGACGAGCCAAGTATGATTTGCTGCTAGGGATCGATCCAGCAATAGTTTGGCATGGCGTGTTTGCTATACCAAACCATTTCTGGTGTATATTGACCTAGGGCTTGGATGTTGTTATTTGAGTGATCCTTATATTTCTGGTAAAAATTTCCAGTGAGCTTCTTTATTTAGGGCCAGCGGTGGCGATATCGAATAGAGCGTGGGCTAGCAGCAAATATTCCCGGGTTCGCTGGTTCGATTACCGCTAACGCCGTAGCCCGACATTAGGCAGCTTTGATGTCAAATTTCTACTTGGGGTTTTAGATCACAATATAATTTCTGTGGAAATTGTCCTTTGTGGACATAGCTGCAACATCCAATCATATGTCTACTATAAGACGTAAGAGCTAATATGAAAAATACCCCACACATAAGAGAATGGTTAATCGATGGATTGCCTCTCATGAAATACATAAGTAGTCATAAGTCCTTAACAAACAACTTATAGAACATATACGAGTACTGATTGCAAAAAAAAAGTTTCTTTATTTGTTCGAGTGGCTCGAAAATACTCGCCCTATTACAGAAATGGTAATAATAATATATCATATAGAGTTGTGACAACTGATTGGGTTGCCATCTGTTAAACAGACTAGTCTTTTTTGTCAGTTTTCAATATGATGAATAACAAACACATTGAACGAAAAATAAATATTAATATATTTAATATCAAACATATTTAATAAATTATAAGAAAATTAATTTATTTCAATATTTTACATTTTGTATTTTTTCTATAGATACAAACTAAAATTGGTTTGTACAGTTTTTTTTTTACTCTCTATTTTTTATTTCCATTTTTTGCCACTGTGGAACTATAATTTCTTATATAGGTAAATTAGAGATGTTGTAAAAAATGATTATGGTATTTGCTTACCTTGAATAAATTTACGTTATCAATTATGTATAAACGCTAATTAAAAACAAAGTTTAAAAACAATGATGCTCTTTATTTTAATATTTCAAGCAAACTAACTTATACACACATAAAATTTAGTTTTGATCATAATGCTTTGATTAAAATCATTGACATAGACTACTAAGTGTTCGTAACTGTAGCATACATTTTATAGTATTGTATTTTATATATTTCTGTGATGCTATTATAGACATAAGTAAATTCTTGTTTATAATTTCGTGTAAATGCAAAAATTAATAAATTTCGTTAAAGAAATATTTTCAAAAACCGCGTAAGATCGAAAACGTGTAAACGAATACCGCGTAAAACATACACCTATGTTTCTTAAAATAATTTTAATAGATATCCATACGTTTCAAGTTTAGTTTTTTTTTTTCAGAGGACAAAACATACAAAATATTCAGACCACTTAAATAATACTTCAACAACAAGAGGTACTTGTTAGCCCGCTAATTTTAATTAATATACTTCTATTTATTTAGGTCAATTTTTATTCTTATCACCGCTGAAAACTTTAACAAAGAAATAAAAATTAATTATACATGCTTTTGCAAAACCATAATTTAATTCAGGACTTTTATGGCTCCAATAAAGGACTATTGATGTAACCTTATCTAATATTTGTTTTATTCATGCTAACCTTTAAACATTTAACCCTCGTAGGTCTTATTGGAACGATAGTGATAAATATATTTAAAGTTAGAATAGTTCATTGTTAGTTACTTCTTAAAGGGTTTATTATAGATCTTGTAATAAAATCGAGTGTATTTTATGTCATTTTGAAATTTCCTGATTATTTTGTAAATCCTTAAAAAATATTATTTATAGATGTATGTTGGGATCCGATTTGGAAGATTTATTGTACATTTGATTCGTATTTTT